CAGTGCGATCACACGCGCACGCACAGTACACGCAGTAGGCACACGGACCGTTTCCAAAAACACAGCTGGCTGTGGATACCACTTACTGCGGTGTTACACGTCCCACTGCGCTCAGTCGTCCCTACGAGCTCAGCCACCAGTGGCCGCTGGAGTGCGTAACGTACGTCAAAGACCTTTCCTTTCTGTAGTTACACTTGCCTTTCGCTACACAGGCAGCTATTTATAAAAGTTCTAGGAACACTGCTCCTGCTGGTTGTGAGCGGGATCGCCTTAGCTTTCTAGCGTTTTTATGCAAGGCTGTGTGTTGATCCCCATGGAGATACAGGTCTTGCACAAACATGTGTCAAGTTTTCTAGGAAGGTCGGGTAAATTAGATATTAAGATAGTTATACCGCGGAGGATGCGGGGGGGGGAGAGTGTCGGACTGATCATCAATATCAGAGCCAGTGAGCCTCCGGGACATGGTAGTGCCGGGTTATATACGTCTGCACTTATGTGACGAAAGTATGCACGCAGGTGGCAAGGGTCGGAGACAGAGGATAACAAAAATCACATGCTTTTACGAATTCTGCGTCAGATGAAATCGAATATGAAGATATGTTATAGTATATATAGTTCAGAGAGGATTCGGAAGAACCGTCTTTTCAAGTCGCTACGACCGTGGTGGAAGGAGACATTTATGGAAGGCGGCCCTAATGGGATGTACTCGTGAGATTTGCATGAAAAAAAGCACGCCGACGATCGTTATAAAAAGCATTGCGTTCGGCTGTCGCGGTGAAAACCTTCCAAAGATATTTGCTGTGCCGCGGGTAAATGGAAATCGCACTCATGTTATACTTTGATGGCAAATTGGACAGGCAGATAGTTTGTTTGGCCAGGGAGACAGCACGATATAAGCACGCTAAGCCAGGGGCGCATAACCCCATTTTTTGCGGTCAACCAGCCACATGGGGTGATTGTAAAAGCGGTTCGTTTGGTGGATCAACGTGTTCAGGCGCAGCCCTCCGTGCTGTGAAACGATGCAAGTGTGGGGCGACTACGCCTGGAAAAGTAGTGCTGAGAGACTGTAAAAAAAAATGGGCGTGGCCCATCTTACAAAATGGCCGCACAGCGATGTGCATAGAGTAGTAAATTAAACCAGATTTGAAGATGAGTAGTGTTGTTGTAGTAGAACCTCCTTGTGACAAGGCGTGTGTCTTGGTATCATATTAAAGGGAATTAAAAAAAAAATGGCTCTATAGCATGATACCACATCTTACTGGGCTTTGGTGGTGATTCATTCGTAACAATTATTTGGGCCAAAATGTTGATCAAATATCTTTTTACCAGTTCGTTTTCCCAATAATAAGTGAGAAAGTTGCCCACCAATATACAGTTATTGCAATGCCATATGTTCAAAAACGTCTTGTTCTGAGTGAATGATTGGGAGAGTGTTCCCGAAAGGAGCTGGAGGAGGAAGCGGGCGAGAAGCGCTATATATGGTTAGATTGTGTTGCTGGAAAGAGGACAAGTTGCATAGAACGTGTGAGAGATGTATCTAACAATAAAGTTATAAGCTGTGCTCCAAACTTAAAATTTATGATATTAAGCTAAAACAGGCATTTGGTACATTACCCACAGGCGTTCTCCCCGCTGATACGCTATAACTTGCGTTGTGTGTGTACGCGTGTACTGTGCGCGCGCGTGTATCGCGCTGTGTGTGTACGCGTGTACTGTGCGTGCGCGTGTATCGCGCTGTGTGTGTACGCATGAACTGTGCGCGCGCGTGTATCGCACTGTGCGTGTGCGCGTGTAGTGTGTGTGTAGCGTGTACTGTGCGTGCGCGTGCATCGCCCTGCACGCGGGCATGCGCAGTGAGTAATACGGACTGTCGTGGTGAAACGTTATGCAAATGTTTCGTCATTTAGCAGCGAGATGACACACGTATAGTGGGAGATACATAGGGGCCTGCATACTGATCAGAAGTAGATAATAGGGAATTATCTACTTATTATTATCTTATTATCTACTTCTGATACCGATACATATGTATATATGTGTGTCTGTCTGTCTGCGCTACGCGAGGCATCGGCCACGGTAATATGCGTGCTAGCTGGTCAGACGTCTCTTCTGCATCCTATTGACGGCTGGTGTCAAGGCAGTGACACTCATTTTATCGATTAATACTTGGGATCAAGCTGAATGACCGATCTAGGCGAGATAGGCCTATATCAGCGCTGATGGTGAGTTATACCAGCCAGTATATTATATACAAGTCGATGGGCGTCATGGTGAATTTTGCACAGTCGCTGCGCGTGATGTATATATCGCAGCCTAGCGCTTTCAGGCAGCTTATAGTGAGTGACCTTGTAAGCCCAGAACTACGTACGCATGCCACCAAAAACGGGTTCAACAGAATGTCACATACGCAAAATGTTAAAATGCGAAGATAACGCCTGTAGTCGAATATTAAATTGCATTTAAATATTTATTCTAATAGTACGCAGTTACTTCGTATAAATGAAAAATAAAACATAGAATAGGTACCGTACGAGTAATTCCTACGATCGAATTCATGAAGATTTTGAGGCTATTGTAATTTATTTGACGTATTTCTATCAAGAATTTTCTGAGAAACAATCGCGAAAATGTCAATGCTCATTCCAAGCGATGTCAGGAAGCACTTGTAAATTGTAATTTACGCAAAATTTTGTAAAAACGGAATATTTTTGTAAAATCGCTACGTAAAGGTACAATAATATGACCTCTTTCCCTACCTAAAATTTTTTTGAGTGTCAATATCCGATTTCGAGACCGATGTGCATGGTTTACTCACATCCGCCTGCGAGTTTTTCACTCTTAGCTTGCCCCTTGCTTATCTCGAAGAATGAGGTCACGCCTGTGCGTATATGCACACGCCACGCGCTTGTCGATAGACGTTGTAGACTAGGGTTGGGGGTTATTCTGGGACTATACTACCGAAGTTAACGCAACGCCAACGTCTTGTTTTTAGTCAGCGCCTGGGCTCAATCACAGAAATATCGGCTAAGTGGTAAGTCATTGAATTATGCTTGCGTTTGCAATGTTTTTCAGAAAAACTCATGGTAGGACGGTAGCTGTGGCACGTCCAAGGACACACTCGCACGCACACCAGTCGAATGTGATTATCATGCACGAGTATCTAAGTGCAAACTGGATCGAGTCTATTATCCGACTTCGTTAGTGTGAACGCACTTGCAGCAGCCATGGTGCAGCAGGACGAGTGGAACACTTGCAAGAGCTAATATAATACCTATTATTAGCTCTTGATTATTTGCCATTCGCGCACGAATTCGACAGCTCTGCTGCGCGTCAATAAAACTTATTAAAACTTATCCTATGTTATATATGTCTTATTATGTCTTATAGTATAAGACAGTTAATTTTAATAGCAGAAATAACAAAAATAATAATTTTAATCGATATAGCATAAGACTTCTTTAATATCGACTAAAATTATTCTCTGTCGTTATAAGCATTGGATGGAACGACAACTGATGCTGCAAACACTGAGAGTGTACACTGAGTGTCGCAGACAAGGTCTCCCGGTTGTAAGATCACACCAGCGCACTATAATGACTGTGCAGTGATGCAGCGCGGAGTAAAGATTACGACGCATAGCGTTGCATAGCATAGCGTATAGTTAGCACTGCGATGGCATTGCGCGATGTCTATAACAATTACTGTTGTCACTGTTGTCACGCGCGCGTGTGTGTGACAGTGACACTAGGACGAGAGTCTGCTGCTCACCCGTCTATTGGGGTCACATAACAGTAACGCTGCACGTACGTACAGTCTCTCGTCTCGGCACGCCGTCACCGTGACTCAGCACTATCCTATCCATATATTGCACACGTTCTCAGGGTAAACATTCCCACTGGAGTCATATGTAAGTGCAGCATCGCAGCGATCTGCTCCAGACACATAAAACAACGTTGATCCAACGTGTTTCTCGTTTCTTCACAGCTGTTCCCGCAGCCACGAGGGAGCGACCGATGCAAACTGCTTGCCACACGCCGATTACATATAATATACACACATATATACGTATATGTATATATAGATATGTGTGTGTGTTAAATAAATAAATATATATTATATAATATCAATATATTGTGCGAGGGTTGAACGTCGTCCGCCGGCGACGACGGCACATACCCGAACATGGCAGCAGCCGACGACGAGCTGCCGACGATGACGGCGACCGTCGACCTATCCCGCTCCTTCCTGTCGGAGCTGCCCGACGTCGGCACGATGCTGCGGCACTGCGATCCGCCGCTGCCGGCCGACGACACAGCAGCGGCGCGTCGTCGCGTCACGCGACTGCAGGCCGACCACAACAGCATACAGACGCTGCCGACGTGCGTCGTCGACGCGTTCGCGAATCTCAGCGTGCTCGACGTCAGCGACAATCGGCTGACGCACATCGGTGACGAGCTGCTGCGGCTCGAGCGGCTAGAGGTGCTCCTCGCGAAGAACAACCTGCTCGAGACGACCTCGCTGCCGAAGGACTTCGGCCGCATGGCGTCGCTAAAGACGCTCAACCTCGGCGGAAACTGCTTCCAGGATCTGCCGCCGCAGGTGACGGAGATGGCGAATCTGACGCGGCTCTTCCTCGGCAACAATCAGATCCGGGAGCTGCCAGTCGAGATAGGAAATATGACTAGGTGGGTATATAATTATATATATATATCAGGAGCGTATAATGACGAAATATTTGTCATTATCACGCTGCCTGATATATTATAGCATATATATATATAATATATAATATATATATCTATATATATATATATTATAATAAAGTTGGTGTGGCGTGGTTGCGTGCGTGCGTCGCGTGCGTGCGTTGCGTGCGGCGTGGTGTGTGTGTGTTGTGCAAGTGTCGTGCCGTGGCGTGCGTGCGTGCGGTCCACTTTCGATTACTATATACTATGACCAATCATGGTCGGTATGTAGTATATAAGTAGTGGAGGTGAGACTCCTATACCGCTGTATCGTAGTCGAGTTTTCTCATCCCCTATCGCTATATTGCCAGACCATAGTTAGTGTGAAAGAGTTTACAAGTAAGTAGGGCGAACTGGGTATGGCGGGCGTGTTCGCGAAAGGGATTAATGTATAGCCGAGGCGTTTACTTTCTTTTCTATTTACCTTTTCCGGTACTTGTTCGCTTATGCCCAAGCGAGGCATTTTGAATTGATCATTCAAGTGCATGTAGTATATATCATTATTGTGCACTGGCGTACCCCCGGACAGGACTGTGAAGGGGCATATATAAATAATCAGTCATATAAAATAAACTCTTCGATGGTTTATTGCATACGGGTTTTAGTCGATGCACATGATAATTGTAGCGTTTTATATAAGCTAGTTTCGGCTACAGATTGCCCCTTCCTTTATATAATAGAGATTTACGTGAAAGATAGTTTCTTAATAGTCATTGAAGTATATGTCTATTAGCAAGGACCCACGGGAAGATTTGCTGAACGACCGCGTGTCGATAAAAAAAAGATAAAAATCGCGTTCTGAAATAACTGTTCTTAGCAGAGGGCAGGACTTATATATGGTCCGATTTGCATTTCATGGCGGGTACCGAAATAATGCAAGAACTTGTCGGCATACCGTAATATGCAGAGTCCGGGAAGAATGTGAGAATAAGAGAGGCGAGGAAAGCCAGCAACGAAGTGAGAAGCGAATAACGCATAAGATGTGGACGATAAATTTGAGCACTATATCAACTTCGTCTACTACGCAGGCCGCGTCGTTCGAGTCGGCGCGAGATTATACTGCACGCTAAGCGCAGGACTAGCTTAACCAACTGAATCGAGGTTGACGCGGCTCCAGGCATAAAGGCGTGTCAGAAAGCTACTACCAATTGCTGAATTAATGGCTGCCT